TCAGATCTGCGAGCGCGGTGTACGGATACCTAAGCTAATCCTGCCTGAAGTCATCACAGGTCTGAGAATGTACATATTCTCTTCAATGTGTAACAGCCTTTTTTTTCCCCACTCATTACAAATGACATTTAGCTTTCCATGAGTCACATGTTTCTCTCTGTCCCTGCTCTTTAATGCTAGGCATAATTAAATATGAATGAAAGCTGGATGAAGATTCAGTACGGCTTAACTCCTGTGCTCGAATATTTCCCACATTACAGAATGATGTTCCAGTTGGACTGTGAAGAACACATGATGTACAAATAAAGCGTGTTATACACAGCTTCTGTGCCAGCTAAAATTCAGTCGTGGTCCTTATTCCCTTTAATGCTAGTACTGTATACATATAGGATACAGGCATCAACATTGTAACTTCTTCCTTTACTTTGAAGAAGTAATACTCACTATGCTTCTCCACTAAAGGAATGCCACTTACAAGCAACATATAAAGAACTTCCCCATTTTGCATATGTCTTACTTTTCTAAGATCTGTGAGGCCAAACTTTAGCCCTACAAGTACTGCAGCATTTGACACAAGCACCATTTGGACTGATCTGTGCAAATTCTCTCACTCTGTTCTTTGGTCACAGATAAGCAAATTGCTCTCTAGCACAGCCACGCTCCAGACATGACCTCTTCTCCTCCCAGTTGTGCTACTCCATGCAGCAAGTTAGTGTCCTATATAGGTGGTAGCCAGAACGATGTACCAAGGTAATTGTTGCACACAAGACATCATAGGATTTGAAGCCATGTCTTCCACAAATCAGACATCTGAACAGCTGAATTTGAAGTGACACCAAACTAGTGTAAATCAGTCTGAGGTAAGCAATGAGATGAGAAGTAATTCATGGATTATGTATTTCCATAATCTAATAAACCTCAAAAGCTGAAGTAGACTGATAGCCTATTATACTGGAAGAATGAATTTTCATGATTAAGGATAACATTTCTTTTTCTTGTTCAAATAAGGAAGTATCTATCTATACAGCTACGCTTGCTTAAAGAAATAACAAATATAAAATGCTTTACATTTTAATGTCAACAACAGATGTTTATAGTGAGCTAAAAAAACCCATCACTTTCAACAGAAATGCTAACCCAAAGTGTTTAAAAGCCATGCAGTTGAAAGATCTCAAAGGTGCTTATTTATATTCTTTTTTTCACTTTTTAAACAGAGATAATTTTTTTAATGGCTGTTTTGTTGCACAGTTACTTGCAGAACACATCCAGGTACCAGAAAAGGTTGCTTGAGGGGCACTTCCTTGGAGGAAGTGGCAGGGTAATGTTTGCATATATGGTTAATAAAGTCTGCATGAGCCAGTACTAAGAGCTTCACCACATGCTCCGAAAGGCAGTGCCTCAAGTGCTGTCAGCTGCAACTCCAGCATCAGCTTGTCTCTTTGGACACAGGCACTGAAGTAGATATGGCTCCTGGAATAGCTGGTGCCTGTGAGGAGATACTGGAAAGTGAGCTACAGATTCCATGCTCCCTTGCTTATGGCTGTTGCTATGATTTTTAGAAGTAAACCTGTATAAAAAACTTTTATTCAGCTTGATGTTTGTAATACACAGGAGGATCAGAAAGCACCAGGACTGAAAGCAAAAATTAGGGGAGGGTTGTGCAAAAAATGAATGCTAAAGAAAGATGAAAAGTTACATGCAATTATGACTGCATAAGGAAAAGGCAAGATGTTTCTCATGGTAATAACAGCAATAAACTATGCAGAAGTTGTACTATGTCTTAAGGCTTACAATTACTAAGGTTTAGGCAGAGCAAAGGACTTAGGACACATCCTAAGTATATGAAGAAAGCATAAAGCAAGCCTCTGCTGTGGCTGGCACTAGGTGCTGGGCAGCCAAAAGAATCCTTCCAGCAAATAGCACTCAGGGAGGGAAATCTTTCCCAGGGCATAACAACTCAGAGGACATGCAAAGGTTTTCCCAGAATGGATGAGATTGCAGGAGCTTGTTTGTGCCCTCACTTGTATCCAATGGCATGGGAAGAATTCAGATTACTTGGGCATACATTCCCTGGAAAGTGGTGGTGAGGCACGATATTATTTCACCAATGTCATTTTCTCTTTCAACAAAGCTTAAGTTCCATCATCCCTAGCTGCTAGATCTTTAAAATAAGAAAAAAACTCTTTTAAATAAACACTACCTAGCCAGCATGTAAGAGCTACAGATAACATTAGTTTCACCTGATGCATAATTAAATACTATCATCTATATCCTCACGATCCAGAGCATTCGTGTTGAAGAGCTGCCTATGGCAGAAGCAAGCAATATGTGATCAACAGCTTAAAGCAAGAAAAACATTAATGTTGGTACACAGAGTTGCTGCAGCTTTTGATTCTAACACTGCATCGACAACCTATTCCTCATAATTATTCTTATTTATCACACTTTAACCTCTGATTTGACTCGAAATTGATTTTAAATTTGAGCTCAGGTGTGTATATGGCCAAATTCACTGTCACAGATGACAAACCCCTACCCTGTATTTTAGATGATACAATATAAATAGTCTACATTTTCCTCAGTCTTTCTGAGACCTACAGATTTGAAGGTGGGCAAGTTCATTAAATGTCACCAAAAACTCTGAGAACAAGAGGATTTTAGAAGTGCCCTAACCACAGGCAGCAGTAAGCAAGACTTTGGAAGATTTCCTCTGTGTAAGATGTGAGCCTCCTTTCCCCTGTGATTCATGGTACCTTAGAACTTTCCAGGATGCTACCCATTTCTAAACACTTCTGTGGCTAGTAACAGAATTATTTTTTTTTTCTTCTTGCTTCACACCAAGCATTTGGTATCTTTTAGTGCTATAAATGACTGTCTCCACTTCTTACCTTAATGAATACTTCCAATATCAGCTAAGTTTTGAGCAGAAAGATAATAAAGCTGAAGTTATTTAAAATAAATTTCTGAATCATGTAGGGGAAAAGGTAGGGACTGTAGATTTGCTCTAGAGTCAGTGAACTCTATCATACAGGCATTTGATCAAGAGAACCAGCTATTAATTAACATGATAACCAGCTGCAATTAGTAGTGTGCCTGTGTAGTACCTAGAATAGAAACTTTTTCCATTCTTTACACATGATCCTCTGCTGATTTACACCAGAAGAGGCTGGGCCCATCATATATCGAAATTCAAAATGAACAATATGCATTTGGTGGAGATCAGCCACATTGACGAGCGCACCAGTGCTAGTAGGACAATTTAGACTTCCAATTTAAACTCTTCAGGGATTAAATTCATTCTTCTCAGGAAAAGCTGTACAAGGCTGATACAAAATTTGTTTCTGATAGGATTTTAGCGATTTATTGGGGTTTGTGCTGGTTCCTTGCATGAGTGAATTTTATTTTATATATATCAAAACTCATTAAAGGTTGAGTGAAAGAATACTTTCCATGCATTTTAATCAGCAAATGTCGAAATCTACTCCAGCTGAACATTGTGTTTACTTGGCATTGCAATTATGTATCAGTAATCTGAACACATGCTGCCTTCTGAGATTGCAACAGCTACAGTACACCAAACACACCAGAAAGGAGGAAATAGAGGCAAATTGCCGTGTAAAGATGCTGTACCCTTCCTTCCAGTATATGCCTGGAATCTCAGTAACAGCTTTTGTGGGTTGCTAACATTTGCATTAATAAGCTTAAAACCTATTACATCACAGTTCACTGGCATTAGCTATCTTTCTTAGCAGTAATAAACCACAGTAGCAACGCTTAGCAGCTCAAAATAAATAAAGGATAAAGCTTGCACATTGTTCAGTGCTCAGGGCAGCACACACATCCCATCACTGCAGCCCAAGAGGCAGGGAGTCAGTGATAGCTGATGGCTGTGAGGAGATGCAAGGAATGTGCACAGCAGAGGAAAGATCTTGGTTCAGCCAGTACTAAATATATGATATGCTCAGTTTTAATGGCAAAAGTGATCTCTGGATGTCAGTGCTCACCCAACGCACTCGCACCACTGCCTTGCTGAACTACAGCCCCAGCCCTGCAGCTGGAGGTGCAGCAGTTCGTGCCTGAGGCACACAGGGTGATGATACTCCCAGCATGTCCATCCTCAATGTCTGCCCTGGGGTTTCATTCACAGTCACAGCTTTTCCCAGAAAACTGATGAGTGGCAAAGGAGGCAGGGCTGACTCTGCTTTTGTCAACCAAAGGACACCAAAACAGAAGCAAAAAGACTGCCAATGCACAGCGCACGGCAATTTATAAAGTTACTTGAGCAGTAACTACTAGATTACAAATCGGAGTTTCCAACCCCCTCCTCTTCTTTCCCTCTCTTGCACCTGAGGTTTCTTATTAAAAAAGGAATGCTAAAATGTCAATAGTAAATTTAGAGTGTTTGGCTTAGCGCTAGGCTGGCAAGAGGAGCTGATGAGGGACCTGCAAACTTCCTCAGCCATATTCCAGTTTGAATTTCAGTGAATGTCCCCCGGTTCATTTTCTAGAGATGCTCCTTTGAACAGAGGGTGTTTTTCAACTCTGGAAGCTTCTTAAAGACAGGGAGCTGGTGTCAGAGAGAGAGATGCAGTTACAGATATGTGCAAGCACCAGCCAGTTTGTTTAGCCATGTCACTGGGAGTGAGCAACTGCCAAAGGAAAGCTGCAATCTGAGCTCATCTGGGAACTGGATATAAAAGGAAACAGTCCTTTCCCGGTTCCCACCTCCCACGGACTTCCAACCTTCCTACTATTCACATGCCCTTCCCTTAAGCTGATACACTATGCTGACAGCTACAGCAGCAGATATCAGTGCTAAAAATCATCAGTATAGCATTTCAAGAGACATACACACAGACATACACACACACAAAAAAGGAAAACAAACAACAAAAAACCCAAATCAAAAACGTAGGGATAGGGAGGAAGGTAGGGAAAATTTTTTTCTGAATAACTTTATTCAGCTTACTTGGTATCCAGACTCTTTCTTATACACAGTTCCCCTTTGGCAGGAGCAGTGTCCTAAAGTCTCTTTTAAAAACAAATTATTAATTCCTACTGTAAACAATTTACCTTATATTTTGTGCAAATACAATATCCACTTTTTTCATCTTCAGTGAATGCATGTTGCATATACCTTTTCAAACAGAAGTGAATCTACTAAACGACAGATAATTTACACGTAAATGTTGTAACTGTAGTAAATCCTCACATGCGAGCAAGCCTGCATTAAAACAGAAATTTTCTACATCTTGAGTAGCTTTCAAGAATAATGTGGTCAATGCAGACTAGGAGGAATTGAGTGTGGTTTTCTCACATGCAAACTCAGGCTGTCCTGAGATCTGGTAGGCTGATTTATCAGCCTGATCCCAGAAGAAAGAGGTGTATGTTAAATGAGACACCTACCGCTGTCGAGCCCGAAGATGTGGCTACAAAGACTTTGATCACCATGCTGACAGTGATGAAAATGAATCAGCAGCGCACGCCTGCTATCCACAAGTCAACACAGCCCCACGAGGAATCCAAGTGTCCGGCAGCTCCTGGGCTAACCCGGGTCGTAAATGGGTGCCCCCAAAGCAATCCAGCAGCTTTGGCCTCTCCCTCTCTCCGGGGTCCCGGGTTTTCCCACTCCATTGGCTCTAAAGTATTTTGCGACAAGGGGCCAGTAGAGGATTGGTTAGTAAGAGGAGCCATAGCAAGGGGTTTGCACCTGCCCCTGGCCTTATTGCATTAGATTGACAGGGTGGCAGTCCAAAAAAGGCAAAGGAGAGTAGTGCACCAATGAGACAGGGCTGGAGAAATATTTGGGAGAGGGGGAAGGGACAAGTGAGAAGGGAGAAGGGATAGGGAGCTGGCAACTTAGTGCTGGGGGTGATCACAACGCTGTCGGGTAATGTTTAATGTTTCATAGGCACTGTCACAGCTACCCCCTGCATAAAAGGGCTTGCACACTCTCCCTGACCACAACAAGGGCGCTTCGGAGTTGTAGCTGCAAATTTTGCATTATAAAAGGGAAAGGAGGAAGGGGAGGGCAAGGGGAGCATAGATGCAAAAGTAATTATAGCAGAGATCATATTGAAATAAGCCTCAGTTACAAACGCTCTCAGCTTTAAAGAATTCAGATCATCATCCACACTGCAGGGCTCAGGGACTTCTCTGAAATAAATACGTGTCAGTACATTTCCTACTACTGAGGAGGGGGATTCGGATGATTCTGTGTATCTAGAACCTATTGTTGTATTTTTTCCTTCTTTTTGCATCACCAGTGAAAATTGCCAGGGCACAGAGAGTAAGAGGAGGTCCAGAATACCTGGTAAAAAAATATCACATTCTACTGTGTTATCCAGGATGCTCTTTTTCCATCCGGTTGTTGCCTTCTGCTCTAGAGATGGCCACAGTTCAGTGACTGCCTGCATGTATCTGCCTAAGGAGGTCTCTGAGCATGAGAGGTATTTTAAGAATGTTAAATGGTAACAGATTACTTTCAAATTTCAAAGGCCAAGTTTGTTTCTGCTAAAAGTGAGCAACATGCCACTGCTCTCAGTAAAGCTGACCCTATGTCAGAGGTGAAGCTGCCCTAGGTTTTAGAAAGTGCTTACCCACATTTCAAATGTGAAGACTGAATATAGCAGTGTCCAATCCCGAAAATACTTAAAATGGAATATAATACTTTATTTCCAGGGTTGATTAGGTAGAACTGAATGCATAATAGTAAAGATGCTCTTCAAAGTAAGGTTTTGTTGTCTATGCAAACCATTTTGTGAAGCTGGAAATGCAGTATTCCATGTATGGCACAGGGATCCTGTAAAACCCCACTGAAAACTAAAAATAACAGTATGGATAGTTTGTGCTGTTTACTGTGTCTCACCATCTGTCATTTCTTTCTTATTTTGAGAGGCAATAAGAGGTCCAGTAAAAAGAAAAGCCTTTTACAACAGGGTATTTTCAGAGTATTTTCCTGTAAAACAAACAAAAAAACCACACCTTAGTGCAAAAACATAAGTTATTGCCTGAAGTTATTACACGTGTTTATTTCTCAGGAGATTTTGTATGTAAGTATAGCCTAGTAAATTCCACAAAAATGACTGACCATTTGGAACTTGCCATTTCCAAATTAATTTATTTGATTACTAGTGCTCTGAAGAAGTAGAATGGATGGAGTGATAGTTGGCTTCAAAGCATACTGATAACCCTTGCAAATAAAATGATACTAATAATTAATACTCAAAGTGGTAAATGTAAGTGGTAAACACCTGTACCAACAAATGTCCACAGTCAGGCCTGGGACAAAATCGCCAATTAATGCTCTGACCCATTCTATTTCACACCTGAAATCTCCACTGAAGTACACAAGGAGAAAACAGGATGCAGCCCAAAGCCTCTGCCTACTGAGTGCTTGGCCAGTGGGGACTTTCAGACACGATTCCCATTGTGTCCAGCCTTGAAGAAAATTATTGCTCCAGCTGCTTCCATTCCTATGGGGTTTTTTCCTCTTTTTCAGCATAAAAAATATTTCATGTAAACTCAGACCATGAGTCTGGAGTGTGTTGGGTTTGGCCTGTGCGCTCTCATGGCACCTACCACATCACACACCACACATCACATCACACACCACGCCACACTGGGATGAGGCACCTCCACGGCCACCATGAGGCTCCATGGCCCATAGCTCATAGCGCATAGGAACCCGCTGCCTGCGCACCGCATTGCCAAATGCCCATTAAGCCTCCGGTGGAGTACAGAAATAAAAGGATGGCAATAGGTACACAGGGATCTCTGCAGGGTACGGGGTGAGGGAAGAAAAGACGGGGGAACCGGCGGCCATGGCCTCCGCGCTGGCTGCGACTACAACTCCCAGGGCGCCCCGCGGCCGCCGCCTGTCCCCATGGCAACGGCGAAAGCGCCTGTCGGCCGTGGAGGGCTGGTAATGGCGACGGGGAAGACGCTTGGGAAGCAGGGAGGGGACGGGACACGCCGGGGTGCGTAGTGGGGCGGTGTGGAGGGATGGAGGACATTTCCTGAGAGGGCAGAGGGGAAGGAGAGGTCTTCTGTCCTTGCCTGGAGGTGCCCAGTGGCGATGGGCTGCTCTCTCGCTCTGGACAGGGGCGGGCTGCCAGGGTTTCGGGGTCTCAAGCAGTTGGGGAGAGCGGGGCGGCGGCTGGGCCCCACCAGCACATTGGGGAACCCTGCTCTTGTGAGGGCGGTGGAGGAGCTCTGGCTTGTGTGGACCACAGCAGGGAGCTGTGTGGGGTCCTTGGAGGAGCCCAGAGGCATGTGTGAGGGCCATGGATATGTCCTCACCCTTCCTGCATGAGCAGGGAGACCATAGCACCTGGCTTGGTTCCCCTGGGCTGCTCTGGCTCTGAGGGGCTGCTGCAGCCTCCTGGTCTATAAACTCAGGCTGTGTCCTCCTACCAGGACAACGCGTTTCTTTGCTTACTCTGTTTTTGCACACAGGCTGTAATAGGTTCTTCCCTCTGACAGTTTCGTGGTTTCTGGATGCTTGAAATGGCATTTTCATTTCTCACAAATAGATTTGGCCTTAATTATGTTTTTACTGCATCTCTTTCTTCAACATACATTCTCCTTGTGTTTTTCCATTTCATTCCACCTTCAGCTACTGCTTTTTTCCCCCTTCATTTCTGTAGTAATATCTTTCATTTAATTTCTGTTTCTTGTCCTTTACCTTTTGTTTTTCTGTCTTCTCATTTTCCATTGTATTTACTTCTCAACATCTGCTCTTGAAGCTGGATGATACGGTTCAGCCCACACTTCTCATCAAAACAAATAATAGTAGTTTTAATTTAAGCTAATAAAAGTAGTAGTTTTAATTTAAGCTAAATTGATTTTAACATAATTTGACAGTTTGACTTTGTTGACAGTGCCAAATCAAATTTAAACAGAAATACAGATCTATGTACCAAGCCGGCCTTTGCCTAATCCTTACCTTAAAATATGAGTGCCCATCTCTTCAGGGTTATTGCAGTGGCTCAAATTTTAGTAGGACTCTGGCCACTTTTCAGTCTTCCATAGATAAGAGTTATTCATGTTAGGGAACGAAGAGTAATGAAACTGTTTTCATTCAGCCTAGAACATTTTGTGCAGTCCTAAATTACACTTTTTAATTTTCTTTGGGAGTTATGTGATTCCTCTCTCCCCTTTAATTTGAAATAAAATGCCACCGAAAAGCAAAAATGCCAACAAAGCACTTAGAATGTTCTAAAAATATCTTCTCATTTTTTTAGCTTAGGCTACTTGTTAAAGTCCATCTGAACTAAAATATCATTTTAACCCTCTCATATTTCTTTTATATAATTGCTATGCTCCTTTTAGAGTGACCCTTCCCTTCCCCCCCCACTCCCCAAATATACAGCTTGTTCTACTAATGGGTAGAGTTCTGCATCTGTAAATCTATGGTCTAGGTAGTCTTCATGTGATATTAAGAAAATAAAATGCATTGAAGCATATTGCTAGAAATATTTCTTACTAGAACCGCAGTGTTTAAATAATGCTGACGGGAGCATGAAGTAATCTGTTCTACTCTCCAGTAGCCTCACTAGGCAAAAAAAATTGAGATGTAACAGATATTTGCAAAAACATAGTCAGCATTCTACATTTTATGTTAAATATATGGGCTTTTTAAAGCTAAACAATCAGGAAGGTTTATTTTGTTTGAAAATTAGACTATTGAGAAAAGACAATTCCAGAGGAAGCAGCAATGTTACTTAGAACCCAATCAAACAAAACGACATCATCCTCTCATCAGAGAACCACATCTCTGACAACAAGAGGGCATTGCAGGTGATATTTTCCAAGCCGTATGGGTGCGTAGACCTGGCGATAAGTGTCTTACAGCATTTTCAAATGCAAACAAATGTGTTAACTATAGACTGCGAAGAAATTGTTTTCATTAAAAAAACACTGACATTTTCCCTAATATTTCTTCTGAAATTGTGCAGAGATGCTTTTATTACACTGTGGGGTTTTATTTAGCTTTTTTTTTTGTTTTCACAAGCAATTCTGATTTGAAAATAACCAAAATAACCAAAAATAATCAAAAGCTTAAGAAAACCTTTTATTCAGACTCTAAATCAAATACTCTGTTATGCAGCTTTAGGTGCTGCTATATCCTCTGCCTAATGTTAATATGGTTTAATAAGATTTTATTTTATATTTTAATGCATAAATTAATTTTGTGATCTGATTTGTAATCTAATTATTGAGAAATATGGCTAAAGATACTCTTAAGACATGAATGGAAAGCTAAAAATCCTAAAAAACCCTCACAATTAGAAATATCTGGTTTCTAGAGACTCGAGCAATTATTTTTTACTATTGCAAACCGCTTGGTAGGTATTGAGCATAAGTACAGTTACGCATCTTTTGGATTACATTAATAGTGGAGAAAATGTATACATTGCAGAAAACAGACTATGCTATCTATTTACATTTAAATGGTAGTACCTTGTAAACCTTTAGAAAACATGTGCCAACATGATAGTAAATTCTGAGATAAAAACTAGTATATTTCATATTGCAGTTCATTCTGGAAACAAAGTTACTCACTTACTACAGACTACACAATTATTTTAATGTATTAAAGAGTAGTTACTTTTTTTAAACAGTAACTTAGTATTTCTTAGCATTATTTAATAAAGTTGAATACTGTTTAGTATTGTTTGTGTTAAAAGTAAATGACTCAATAACACTCTGATTCCTGATAGGTCATGGAGGTCAACTTTTAAGTCTTCTACCGTAACCCAGTGGTGAACTCAGATGGTTGTTTCCTCCATATTCCAGTGACAGAAGATAAGAAGTCAGAACAGGGCACAGAAAGCAGGGATATTAAAGATTCCCCAAGACACAGAAGGCTGTAGCAGAGGCGACACATTTTAAAATCTATTTAGCAGAAGAATCATCATTGGCTACTAGCTGTGTTGGATATTTTTAGTGGTTATTTTTGCTTGTTCATGGCTACTTGAAATGATCAATTTCCCACGACTACAATTGTAACCTACATTTTCACCCTGTATAGATGTGTATAGATTTTTACAGTATTTTTGTCCGCTTTTCCAGGAAGATATTTTCCCATTTCTTTTATCTTCTCTCATTCCATTCTGGCAAAATGAAATAGTAATGTGATGGCTGTTCTCATTTTGCAAATATTTGTGTGGTGACACTTGTAGTAATATTGTAGTCTTCCTGCAGTGGAATCGTATTACAGAGAACATACAGGTGTGATGCTTCTGTACCTTCTCTTTGCTTTGGGTTTTATTTCTGGTGAGGTTCTTGTCACAGCACCTGTTAATTTTGCTCACTGCAGAAGGTCCTGTGTGGGAGTGAGAGTAGGACTTCCCGGAGTAACGATGAAATCTCAATGTGAGTATAGTCGTTCTCCTTTATTAAGCAGAGTTACAAGGCTTTTATAGTCACAGTTTAGTCACGAGCAATTCACGAGCAAAGCACGCAGCGATTACATACAGCTAATTGGTTGCTGTCCATGCGTCCTGACGTATGGACGGTACGCCTACTTGCGGTTAGCGAGTCCGGCTCTTATCTTCCTTAAAGTTGCAGGTTACCCTTGTTCGTACGCTGGGTTGGTCACATCGACAAGATCATGGCCGCGCTGGGAGAGCCAGCACTCCACAGTCCTGAATGTGTCTGACCTCACCTGACTTCTATAATTTCTTCTTTGTTTACTTGAACCTCCATGATACCTCTTCCCAATTCATCTAAAACATGAAATAATTTAACTGCCCTGCCCAAATCACAGCGTCTCCTCCTTTTGATTCCTAATCTCACGTTCTTTCTATCCTTTCCTTTTGCTATCACATTGAATTTGACAGTCTGCTCTCCCCATGTGGCTCTGTATGAGTGAGGCCCTACCAGCTTGCCCTTGCTTGCTCTCCTCTATCAGCAGGGCCATCAGAGCAAAGACCATCCGGTTTGTAGCCTGGAACACTGGAGTGAGCCAGGTGTTTCAAAAATAAGAGCAAAAGACAGACAGAATTCCATAACTGACCTCCTTCATATTTTCCTTGAACTTGCTGCCTTACACACCAGGCACGTGGGTGCCCAGGCACATGAGTGCCAGGCCCAGGCCAGGCTCCAGACTCTGCCTTGGGCAGGGGAGGAGCAGAGCTGGGCTGAAGCTGTGGAGAACAGCAAGGCTGTTGCAGCTGCTGTATGCAGGGAAGGGGAGAGAGAGGAATAGGTTCTGCTGCAGCAGGGAAGAGCCATTTCCCCACTGAAACCACTGCCCCACACATCTCTGTCTTCCTAGATAACAGTCTTTCCTTTGCTTCCCACTATTATGGCTTAGGCCATGGAAGCAGTGAGGCCATGGCATGGTGATGCCCTAGGGAGTGTCTTGCTTTACTTTTCCTACCCCTGATTTGATGTTGCTCCCTGTCTGCAATGGGGTGTTTTGGTTAGGGCCCGCTCCTGTAAAGTGTTCGTATGCGGGACACCCATTTGATTTAACAGAAGTGCTTGAAAAGATCTGTCCTTTTCCTCTGGAGTTTTTTTAGGTTAGAACCTTGCCTGTTCTATCTGTAAAATGTTATGTGACCTATAAATTGATATAATCAACTTCTAGCAAAATACTGCTTGAAATGTCCTGAGAGCTGTAGTGAAATTGAATATATGCCTGAAAAAGGGGGACATGCTCAGATCTACAGTCTTGACTCTTTTCAAATTCTAATTATGTTTCAGGAAAGAAAAATGAGGGTAATTCGCTCAGAATGCTGGCCATAAAGAAAGGCAAAGGGCAGTAATACTCTTGCAATGCTAGGCTGCAAAGATTTTTTTGATTGCTGTATAGAAACAGTGTACACAACTGCATAACTATTATATTCTAATTAGCATGTAAGGGTTAAAAACTTCAGTTCAAAGCTGGACTGAAAATTCTAGAAAGCTGGTTAGAAATCCCAGCTGCAGGAAAAATTAACCATGTGCTATATGAATACCTTGTTTTTGAGTTCTTGCAGAATGCTTGATTACTGTGTTGTATTTTTTTTTATCACACCCCTATTCAAGGTGTAGGTCCTCCCTCTTGGGAATCTTTGTAGATGAGGTGAATTTGGTTCACCAGTCCCCAGATCATGCCTACATTAGCGAATGGCATGATTTACAGAGAGAAAATTTGTTTCCATTGATACTGGAGTAATGTGTTGATATAAACATACTTTACTAACTTATTCTTAGAGTATTATTGCTGTTTGCCTCAGAAGACACCACCTGTGTAGTTGCCCTTATTAATGGAAAGTGAGTATGGTGGCTTTTTTGAGTGAAAATGGCTGGAGAATAAAATGTGGAAGCCTTGGCCTTCTGTAGACCTAGTTAGCTGGGGACCATTGCAGCCACCTAAGTGTATGGACAGAGAGATAAAATCTTCAATGGATCTATCTGTGAAATACCTGAACATTGGAGTCTTAGCATAGATTGTGGTCATTGTATCAAATTTACCACAATTAAGTGGCTTGGATGAGCAGTATATGAGCTTATGTGAGCAGTAAATACATACAGTGGTTTTGCTGTCTCAGATGATTACTATATATCGATGTCAGTTTACTTTGGTCTGAATACAGGAGGAAAAAAATTGCAGCTGAGAAGATACCATATCAGAATTCTCATTTCTAAGCCTGCAGAGTAGTATGATTTCCCAGAAGAAGAATGGAACAGCTCAGCGAATATCATCAGCAAGACTTCACAAAATTAAAGAGCTGAAGAATGAAATATTTGATTTACAACATGAAGTAGAAGCATCAAGCTTAGTAAACCACGTTTTGAAACAGCTTCAGTGTCGACGCTTGAAAGCGATAGGCAGATATGAATGTTCAGAAAGTAACTTGTCACATCTTTTAGCAAGTCATTATAATGAGGTGAGAGCTATAAGGAAACTCCTGAGGATGTCTCTGGAGAGTGAGAGAAATACATCCAGGAAGCTCAGAAATGTGGAAGCAGAGCTGCTGAAAACTAAAGATGCTTTGCATGCCTTGCATGTGCTTTCAGAAGACAAAGCTCTTGCAGAGAGAGAGGAACTAAATCACAGATTATCAGTCTTTACAGAAAAAATGGAAGTGAATAATAAGATAATACAGGTAATATGCGTGTATTATTGTAGTTGTGGAATAATAATGGGAGAGGTTTCTGTGCAAGACTAGTGGAAAGGTTTTAGCTGCTTGTTGTCACATTAATGATTCTGATACAATCCTCTAACGCTGAATTTTTTAATCCAGAGGTGTTCTGAGTTAAAAGTACTAAAAATAGCGGTAGTATCCCCTTGCAATATTTTAAGATCTGGTAGAAATGTATGAGTGGATACCACTATTGATGGTATTTCAATTGGCAATAAAGATTTTTTTAGGAATTAAGTCATGTGCCTTAACCCTATAAGGTCAGAAGAGCAGCATACAGCTGGGGAGTGATCTGCAGCAGAGTGCTGCCTGCCGGCATCATGAGGTACCCAGGCTTGCTTGGGCCATGTAGCCACAATAGCACAGACCCTAACTTACCCTCCCAAAGCACAGGATGAGTCATACATGGAGACCACCAGACTGCTGCTGATCTGCTACCCTGAACAACCAAGGCTGGCTTATCCAGAACTAGCACTGTTGTTTTGCTGTGGTGCTGGTGGGCAGTCTGGCCATACCTGCCTCTCCTGTTCACTAATTCCATCACATCCATCAGTAGCACATACTCGGTTGTAGGGTGGCTGCTGCATTAGACAGCAGTCAGGTGTCCTGGGTTCTAGGGTTGGTTTTACTGTTGTTTTATTATGCAACCATAGTAAAAGCCTGGTGGGAGTTTAAGAGGAGATAATTCAGCTCCTTTTAATATCACATGCTGCTTTACTGTTATTGAACCTTTCACAAAAAGACAGAAATACATGTTTTAATACAAAACTAGAAGTGTGACATTTCCATTGTCCTTCAGGAATTAATTTCTGTTTTCTGTGGGGTACATCATACATAGAATGAAATAAAGAGCCAGGTAATCTTAGAGGCATTTCACCATCTGAACAGCTAGGTCTGAAGTACATTTATTGCATTAAAGAAAATGCAGATATAAACAGCTGAATTCAGACTCTCTTTTGAAAACTTTCTATTTACAGAAGTCCTAGTGAGAAGCTATAAAAAGCTTGCAAGATTGGGTGTCTACCTTACAATTATAGTAACTATAATATCAGTGCATGGCACTGGGTTTTGATGATAAAATGCTTGATAAAGTACTCAATAAATTACCTAGTTTTCATTTACACTAAGCCTCCTTATGCTGCCACAGTGAACAGATCTCAGTGTGAACAGAAATGTCTTAACATTTCTCAAAGATTATTGTAATTTTTAATCCATCAGAAACAATGTACAGCCTTATTTTTCATTATTGAATGACAAATATTCTTCTTTAATTTAGTAAAATTAGGCTTTAAGCCAGGATTTTATCTTATTTAAAGTATTTTTTCAGATACTTCATTGTAATTTCATGCATTGCTTAAAATAGAATATAATTATTAGAAGTTTATATTAGCATGCTTATTTTTTAGATCTGGTAAGAACTGAGATTTTCAACAGTCATATTGAGTACATCCATATTGTAAAAGATATAATTTTTTTAAGAGCCTAGAAAAGCAGCTGGAGTTGAACAATAGCACCTTTAGTCGTCAGTTGGCAAATGAGAACAAAAAAGCTGTGGAAGCTGGGATGATTACAAAGAACTTGCAAATGGAAATTAACTCTCTTCACCAAAAAATTAAGGTATTCAAGACTTTAAATGGGTTTGTGTTCCTACAAGAAGATTCAAATATTTAATGTTATCCATTCCTTTTGTGTCTTTTATATTATTTAGTAATGGAATTTTTGTTTCCCAGTTGAGTCTGCAGTCTATCAAAATGGTCAAACTATTAAATGACAAAATTATCATAGGGTCTATTTGTCAGAAGTTCAAAGTAGTTTGATAACTAATCAAAATGAAGATTAATGCATCACAATTTGAACAAATAATCCCCACCAGCTTGTTACCATTTTGATAGATCTAGGGCAATACATTCACCCACCAACTTTAAATGCACTCCGTTGTAGAAACACCTTCAAATCTAAGTGAGCCAGAGGTTACAATCTGCAAAACCAGAGTTTAACAAAAAGACTTACATGAATGTTTCAATAGTTTGTTTCAAATTCCAGCTTGCTTTTCAGATAAATATTTTTGGGACAAATATGTCCAGTTCAAGACTTACTGAACGCTTGTAAACCAAACATACAGGAAAACCTAAATTCACGCTAAATGTAAATAGAAGCAAAACTGCCATGAATGGTATGTCCTATGATTTGTAAACAGGAAAACCAGAACATATTCCAGAAAACTTGAAAGTCCTCGTGGTTTTTTAATAATTTTTACTGTGCTTGTAAGACAGTTAATACTTTTTAAATTTATTTTTTTATTTTTATTTCTCTATGAATTGACCAGTCCATCTGTTGATTCCACTAGGGAGCTTCCTCTTTCTAATTAGAATCCAATGTCTGTGACAGATGTTGTTATGGGGAGTTTTCCCAGACCTTGTGAAGGGCAGAACAGGCAGCTCTTGAGAATTCATGGAGATCTGTGTTTCTATGCTGGGCATAGTTTGTCCCTCTTACCTATGTATCAGGTGCAGAAACTTTCCTCTTGATATTAAGCAGCAGCCAGGTGCCCAGCTGCAAAAGCCTGGTGAGCTGTTGGGAAAGGAACCAAGTGCAGTGCTTTGCCGGGGCATTGTGCCCCCCAAGCAGCACTTGCAGTGCTATTTCTCTGCCAGAGCCCAGTCTCCTCCTATGTGTGCACATCTGGGAGACAGGAATAATTACAGTACCAGTAACACTGATGTAAAACTGTTCCAAAATGCAAATTATTTTAAAGTACAGTTCTCACCTTAATGCTTCTTCAAAATATTTACATTTCATGTGGTTTCCACACAGTTTTCTATGTGTGTCCAGTTCTCTTAATGCTATATTTAGATTCAGAAAACCTTCTATTGTTTTACCACAAAGATGGCCAGACCTGCTTATTAACCTTATTTTTGTGCCAGGTCAGAGTTTATTTTCACACGGTCATAGTTTTGGGCACCTGGCTTAGTCAGACCATTCAAGGTATTCAGACGCACAATTGATTCCCTTTCACATAAACCTGTATCTCCAAATTAAATGCAGCTCCAGTTTTTCACACTAAAAATTGATACGGTGAGAGTGTTACTGAAATCTCTCTTCTGTGTTTAAGATATATTCCAGTAAGGCAAGAGGACTTTTGCTAAATAAATCTTTAAAATGTGCCTCTGATGTTGATGTCATCTCCCAAGCAATTGGTTATAAACCAGAACTGAGCACACTGTAACCAAGGGCACCGAACAAATGAAAAAAAAATAAAATAAGAAAAGGAAGTAAAGCCAAAAATTACTTAGTCTGAAAAAACTCCTAAAAACAACAAATGGAAAAATCATTAGAGAAGGCTACATCTTTTGACCCTTGTGTTATGAAAAAGATCATGTAGGTTTGCTCTTAGCCTTAAAAAGGGAGAATTTTGATTTGGCTCATGAAAGAAAATGACAGAGTCCTATTTACGTAAATGACAAAGTCACCACATGGCCTGGCACAAAGCAGAATTGCTGACAGTTTTCTCCCAATAGAAGAAAATTAAGTTGGTAAAAAGTAATTCTTCATGCATATTAGAAGTTTAATAGTGTTTATTTTTTCTTAGGAAAAGGATCGGCAACTTTATGTCAAAAATATCTATGCAAATTGGATGCCTAAAATCACAAAAGACAAAGATGATTCAGTACCTCATGAAAAAAGTATGTGTATGTTTATTTTCCTTTGTTGTTTAATTATGTGAAACTGAAATTATTTTATAACTGAGGCGCATAATCCAAAATAAAACCCAATATAGTACTTTTATATGGGCTAAAAATATTTTGGCACATATAATATAAAAAAAAGTGCTTAGTGTTTTGCCCATTTATTTTATGAATACAAATATATGACCTGTTTTTAATATTTAACCCAAATTTCATAATAAATAGCATATAGTATACATAGTTTTAGTGCTGAAGTAGTGCTGCTATTTTAAGTGTCTATTTGCATCAAGAGCTGTTTGCCTATTTGTTTTTTACTGAGGTGAAGCTATCAGTCCACACAGCTTTTGCAGACTGATTTTTATTCAGGATGTTCCCTTTGACTTGGCGAATTCCCACAACATGGCTCACTATATCAAAGCACCTGACAGACAATACTCCTGTAGCAAGTTCCTAGTCTTAGTACAGACTTTCAAAGTGCTTTTATAAGAGCAAAAATAATGACTTTAATTTGGTCTTTAAAAACTGTTTTCTCCTCTTTAAAATCCTTAGACCCTGTAACTTATAAATAGCAGGGATGCTTCAATGTCCACTACTGAAGCTTCTGCAACTTGCATTTTGTTGGGGTGAAAGAAGAGGAAGAGTTTTCAAACACAAGGTTTAGGAAGTTTAAAGACCAGTCTGCTGATCATTCTGTCAGCTTATCTGAGAGAACACATCCTTAGTAGTCCTTCTGATTTTAGCGTAAGTAAATTTAAATGGGGAACCAGAGATGATAATAACCTAGTTATTGTATATCCTCTCAATTAATTCTATCAACAGAATTGATGTCATGAGAACAATATAGTGGAATGATAAAAAAGAACAATAGAAAGTTAATTCTATCAAGGAGGAAAGAACTCTTAAAAAAGAGATTATTGCTTTCACATGGATGCTGAGACAGGTATCAGAGAGAAATATCTATTATATGCAATCTTGTGTATCAACCATTCCAAGAGCAGTTACTCTTGTGGGATCCAGCTGTCTAATTATAGGCATCCAGTGCCATTTGAGAAGACCCAGCACATACACACATGGCACTGTAGTTGTCTCAGAAGGACACGGGTGTCCCATCGGTCCAGTGTAATATCGGCCAGCCTTATGTGGATACCTTGAATACTCGAGGGCATTTCAAATAGCATTTGGTGCCTGGTGGATCCCACCCCTTGAACCGAGGAAGCAACAAATCACATAAAAACCATTGCAAATCTTACAAGCCAAGAACAGTTACATTGCTCATGTGCTCACTGGGGACAAAAATGATGAGGATAGCTTTCTTGAATCACTTATAAATTCCTAATTGTCATCTGTTTTAGATGTAGTATCTAGAAGTTACTAATAAATGTGGTTTATGCAGAAACTAATAAACAGATTTCAAGTACTTTCCCTGCATTGAAAGTAGTACTTTGCCTCCTATTCAGGATCATAAACGTTCTGTCAATATTCTAAAGAAGAGCTTTCTGCACAACAAACTTACATCCCTAATTTTGAATAATGATCTGAACATTGACTTTCCTGGCTTAAATACCTCTTTAAAATACTGGTCAGATATTCCTGCTCCTAAACTAAAGAAGGAATTGGAACTTTCTTCATATGAGTCCAGAAGAGCACTTAAAATTTACATGGTAGCAAACATATTCACTGGAAATATTGCACATGCCCACAGAATTCTTCCAATTATTGTATCAGTACAAAGTCTTTCCATAGCCAGTTGCTTATTTCTTTCCTCTTCGTTGCCTTTGCAAATCCATTATGCTGCCTTAACTACAAATGAACTACAGGGAAAAGATTGTTAATTCAAGTTCCAAAACTAAGAACCACAAATCCCTACTTCTCATTCCAAGCCAGACTTTTTTTTTTATGGACCTCTAAATTCCAATTCTAGTTACATCACATAACCAGCTGTGGATTTTTTATTTTTACTCAATATTGTTATTTAAATTACAGTACTTAAATCACTGTTTACTACGTAAGTTCTTCTTTTTTTTAAAGCAAGACAAGGGAGCTTAGTTGGAGAGAGACCTGATATTTTATAATGAAAATGATCCAAGCAAAATTGTCTGATCTTTTGGTATCTGTGGCCAATAAAGGTTTCATTCTCTGCCAGTTAATGGAAACAGATGATTTAGAAATCTAGAACTAAAATTACTGACAATTGTTTTTCCTTTTCAGTATTGACTTGAATTTTCCTATAACAAACTTAGAAAGACCTACTTCTTCAAGCAGTTATTTTCTATTCTGCGTTTGCACATTTTTTTACCCAGCAGGAAAGAAAAAAAAGAAATGTGGAGCTGCATTTTTTAACACTCCTGATAAATAGCTGAAGGTGGGCTTATTTAGGTTATCAGAAAGCTCTGTGTACATAAATAAAATGGACTCATTGAATGAAGCCATTAATTTCATAAGCTCTCCATGAGAGCAGTTATTCGGTTGTGGGAAGGTCACACGAGCTCATCTAGAGGTACAGCTCCCCCTAGTTCTGGATCTGAGGAACGCTCCGCTGATTTCGGCTGAAAAGGCTGCTGGAACAACTACTTACTGGTTCCCTTTTGAGAGGGAAAACTATTTCCCTCCACATCATCAGGACCATTGCTTCAAGAGTAGTGCTCAAATTAGTTATCAACATCCTTTTCACCGTCAAACTGCAAACATTTGAAAATCGCCATTTTTATGGAGAGTCTTTCTCCAATGTCAGAGATCAAAACTGGGAATGAAGTCAAATGTTAGTGTAGGTAAAATCACATTTTTGCTGCTGTACTAAGGAACTTTCTCAGTTACTGTACTTATCTCAAGATTATTCTAAAAATAAAATAAAAGAACAATATACTCTCCTTCCCCATCCCATCCCATCTCCATTCAGCTGTTTCTTTAATGTCTCATTCAATCACTCGCTTGGAATTTCTGTTCAAATACCACAGATATTTCAAACAGTGTTAAACATTGCCTCTGAAAAGTTTGGTTCCATAAAGCCTTACATCAGTGCTTAACTTTGAGATGGGTAAGTAACCAAGTCAGAAGGCATAAAAGCAAGCGGACTTATTATACTCTGTAAGATCCAAATTTAGGAACCTGAAAGCTGAGGCCTCATACCTGGCCTCTTAAATTTATATTAGAATGTTACCATATAAATTAAGCCCACATGGACTCTAGAGCATAGACACATTTGTCTGACTTCACATGTTCTATCTGAATAGGACTTTGTAGAGGTAAAACTTAAGTATATTTATGATGTACTGATGAAAATGCTCCAAAGTCCAGGCAGCTGTGTCTGTGTTCCGGTTTCAGCATTTATAGATCAGGCAGAACAAAGAATTTATTTATTAAAGGGCATTAAGAACATGCAGGAAAAAAAAGTCTAAATCCTAGGCCACATACCAGCATTATCAGTCATCAAAGATATCTTTTCTTTATACCAACAATATAATTCCAGAAACTACTGTATTACTAATGATTGTGCTTTTTCAATAGGTCTTAGTATAAACAGATCAGTACAAGTAGATACACAGAGTTTTAGATCACTGCTGCTGTCACAGTACCAAACTCAGGAAACAGAAAAAAGTCTGATTCAGCTAAGGAAGGTATGAAAGATCTGGATCCAATCCCTTGTTTAAACTCAGTTAAGTTGCATGTTACTCCACAAGTTTCAGTAATATGCCTGAATAGCCTGATCCGTCATCTTAACTTTCTAAGATGTGGATATTGCGTGAATGTAATTACGTTACAGAAAGTATGTAGGACGAATGTTGTGTTACAAAATAAGAATATAATAGCAATAGACGTTACTATTCTTTTTATAAGTATTGCACTGATTGTGTTATTTTAAAAGTTACTAAACGTGTATTTCCTCATTATTTTTACATTTAATTGCCAATTATAGGAGAAAAAGTCTTCTGAAGATAAGAATCAAAAAGCTAAAGCAAATGATGCATACACAGATGCCCAAAAAGGAATGGAAAAGAAAGCAACCGAGAAAATACAAAAGCCAGAAGCTCTTAACAGAACATGTAGAGGTGTATTTTAACATTTTTCTCAGAAACTAATTTGATTCTTTCAAAAGTTGAATGAACCAATGGTTTGGTAATTTACACAGGTCTGACAGCCATTAGTTGGCACCTGACTGACAGAAACTAGGTTCAAGAGAATAATATATTAGGTGACACTGAAATCCAGCTGCTGGCGGTGCTGCACTGGCAGCAGAGCAGCTCCACAGTATAAGGCATTTTCATACTGCTGTACTTCTAAAAGCAGTTCCTGGTTGCATTGGTAAAAAGTCCATGCTTTATCTGTGAAAGTATACTTTAGTTAGTAGTTTGCTAATTCAACACTAATCAAATACCCATCTCAAATTGCTGGTTGTGAATCTTCATCATAGCTAATGTCAACAGGTGTTTCTGGCTCAGAATCCATTGCTGAGACAGGAAAAGGACTTATTCAAGAGCTGGGAGTATCTCCTTATTACAATGATCTCTGTAAATAGATTTTATGTGAATCTTAGCCATTGATTGTGTTCTCATATAACAGTTGTATGCAAAGGACTCATCTATAAACACCTTTATTTTGAAGAGATTCTGTAGAACAGAAGAAAGAGCGAGCCAATGCATCTATTCCTTTACCTGAGTTTTTCTTTCTAAAAATATTAATGTTCTTTTCATTGTAGTAAGGCTTGTAGAAAGAACCAAGATCTGAATGCCATCAAGATAAATACTTCACAAATGGTAGGAGACATTATGTGACCTAAAGGTCAGGCATTTACAGAGGTGAACCTGGTTGCTGAGGTCACTTACTAGATCAGTAACAGAGCCAGTAATCTGGAATGCATTAACTCCTGTTTTGTACTCCACCTTTTCAGCCTGCAGCTTTTCCAGACTCACCAGATAACCAAAGTCACCATTTGTCTTTGAAATCTCATTTTAAAATTGACAGAAAACGCAGGTCTTCAGATTCTGCTTGTGAATCTCTCTCCTCACTGTTTGCCAGACTCCCTTCTGGCTTACTTCCACTGCCAGTATCAGACTTATTTACTGAAGTCTTACTGAGCTATTTTAATTGTTGCAACTTCATACTACTCCTTTAAGCTTAGACTGTGTTTCATTTTGGAGGTACTCTGAGTCTCTCCAAAGCACAGAACCTATATAATTTATTCCCTGCAGCAGAAAAATGTATTTATGGTAAGCTTTCAACATACACATACCTTTTTCTACTAAAAAACAGAGCCAACTCATTTATAGGTTAGAGTTGCAGTATATTCTGCTCCATGCAACAAGCAACTGTGTTGTCAACTAAGGGAGAAAAAATCATACATATATGTTCCATTTAAAAGCAGAAAAACTACAATTAGAGTTTAGATCTCATGTGGTTTCTCTGTTGCATTATACATTACTTTTCTGGCTCTATATTTTGCCATTACTGATTATATTTGCATACTAAATCGTTTAGTAAAATTAAACATAATGAACAAGGTAAAAATAAAGGTGGTTACCTGGAATCAATGGCACAATGATATTTTTAAAATCTTGCCCCATATCATTATATTAACAATGTTATTATATTATTAGTAAATAGCATAGTCATAACCCTCAGGACTGAATACTATCAATTACAACTTAAGCAATGAAATAAGGCAGTAAAACTTGCATTCATTAATGCTTCATGACTAAGTTTCTAGGCAATTTAGGAACGTTGCTAACAACCACAGTATTCCACTTTAGGGTCCTTAAGGGAGGGCAGACTGCTGACAGAAGAATACACTTTCTTGGAATTTATGAAAGAAGAAAAGGAGACAGACTTGTTTGAACTGGAGCTGAAAAAAATGACGAAAACTGAACAAACTCCTCTAAGCAACAGTGTAAAAGAGAACAATAAAGAGGAAGATGCAGTGGAAGAAGGTGAAAAAGAAGAAAAAAAGCCAGATGAACAGCTAAGTAACAGTGAAAAGGCAGAGAGTATATGTGTAACTCCAGATACAAGTAAGAAAACGCTCCTCAGACTGAGAAAAAAATACATCTTCTCAGAAGCCACTGAGAATTTGCATCATGGACTTCCTACATCAAGTACAAAATTCGAAAAAGGCAGCCTTGGCAACCACAGACATGCAGGTCAGGATTGCACTGAAACAGCTGAATCAAAAGTGAAGAATTCCTTTGGGCCGTATGAACCATCTTTTGGTAAAGTTACCAAAACGAGGCGGAAGGACAGCTCCACTGAAGCGGAAGGCTGCACTCATATGACATTTACTGACAGGAAAAACAGTCTTATGAAAGAACTCTTTGGACCAGGCTGTGTTTGAAGAGACAACCATTCAAGTTCTGACACGAGAGGAATGGAGAAAGAGAAGTGAAAGGGTGCAGAATTACACAAGCCAAATTTCAAACCACCACCACTAACTAGTTCATAATGTAAAGCTTCTAACACTAATGAAATTGTTGTGAGAATACACACACTAATTATTCTATGTCAATTTCTTTACTCTAGAAATATGGATCATTTAAAGCATTTTTGTGAAAACCAATGTTTTTACCTTCATTAAATGCATATTAAATCTTGCATGTACTGAGAATTTTTTAATGATGTTTCCAAAATCAGTCAAATGAGTTGTCACAAAAGAACATTCTTCTGCTCTTGGTCTGTGTGCGTGCACGTAACAGTAACAACTACAACATTTTTACCTGTTATCTGGTGTCCTTGTTTTGTAATTTCCAGTTTTTTGCATTCCCTCTGCAGTTCGAATTCTGAAGCTGATGGTTTGTTAGTTAGCCGAAGTGAGCAACCTGCTTTCATAAGGTTCATTAGTGGGTTAGTGCCAACTACGCAATAAAAGAAAATAATTTTTTATTTTCTTCGCTCCTGAAATAGCTTCCAGAATTCACACATAATAAAAATAATTTGCTGTTACATTGTTTTCACTAGCATTATAAAGCTCTAAAGCTTCATTCTTTTCCACTGTTAGAAATTATCAAAGCAGTTTGCCTGGTAACTTCCACAGCTGACATCCAAAGATGAATGTGCAAGAGTAAACTATTGTTTTGGAGAAGTCAGGCATATCCAGTTCTCAAAAGGCCTTTAAAAATCCTGTGTTTAAGGTTATGTAAGCAAGGGTAGGAGGATTATGTTTTGTTCCTCATAGTAATTCATGAAACATTTGCTAAAATGTGAAGTTAGGGACAACTATGTGTATTCTATTAGTTTTAAAAGACAGTAGCACTTAAAACAAAAAAAAACCACCACAAAAACAACCTTTCAAAAATTTATACCACAAGATCATTGTGACATTTAGATCAGAACAAACTGGCAGCGTAGTTCTTTTCAAAATTTCAAAGGTTTTTCTTGAAGCAGTGCTTCAGCTGTACAGTGGACTGGTTTCAAAGAACGACTGTGCAGTCAGAGGAGTAGGTGTTCCTCCTCTATGATTAATACTTCTACAACGCCTTTACTGCTGTCCCAAAGCGAAGAGCAAACAAGCAGACATAATCCAGCACTCCCAATTGTACTGACTAGATGGTCAAAAGCCTTTTCACCCTTACTTGCCCAAATGTTTGCCTACAGCAGCCAACAAACCGCATATTTGATGACCTCGCAGTAAGTGTAAACAGCAAACACTATTGTGAAGATTCTAAACGATGCTGCTTTTCTTCACTTCACTGTGTTAAACAAGTAACTCTGTAACAAGCAAAGAAGAAATATCATGAGCTACGTCTTTAGTTTCAGAAATACGTGACTGTCACAGTTAAATAATCTGTCCCAAATACTTCAAAAAATAATAAATTAGGCCTGTTGGTTCCAATAGTGTCTCCTTATGCAAGAACATGGCAGTGGGTGTTGTTGGTTTGGGTTTTGGCTATTTTGAGTTGGGTTTTTTTTTTTTAGGAAAACTAATTAACATTGAAAAAATTGTTTAAAAACTTGAGATGGGTTGAAAAGCTTTATTTTGTTCATAAAACCACAATTATACATAACATTCAATCTCAACATTTTTTTCTTGATATTAAATGCATCTATTTTCATGTTAGCTAAATGTAATCCCTAATATAAAACCAATTTTTTTTACAGCTAACATTAAAAAAAAAACACCAAACATTTCCTGCATATATACATACACATACACACACGATGTATCACGACCTTTTGAACTAATTTCTACATGCAGTGCTAATTACAGAGGGCCCCTAGACCCTTCCTGCAGGAGGGCAAAGGACCAGAAATAACATGATAAATGCACTCCACTGTACAGAGTCAAAGCTGAACTGGAATTTCCAAAGTCCAGCAAAAGAGGGAAAGGTGTCCCCTACAGCTTAAAAAAAAGAGGTGTGGAATAAGTACTTTATAAACCACCCATTTATCTTAAGTAGTAGCAAGGATAGGGTTGCAGATACCACTGTAGCATGGAAGATAAGGCAACTTTGTTGCTGTTCTACAGGCACCTCACTAGGAAAAATTCCGCCTGACTTTAAACTCAAAATATTGTTGCCGTTTCCTGTACCTACATTCAGCAAGAAGGATTTACTCCAAAAGAGAAAATTGTTTTCTCTCCTCCTCTTGCTTGCTACTATTCCATTACTACTTCAGGTGTTTAAATCGCTAATTTGCCTTTATACATTTACATAGCTGTTTCAGCGTTCCCTGGACTGTCATTAATATGTGCTGAAGCCCTTAGAATGTTCCCCTGAAGGAACAGCACTGGCTACTCCTTTTTCTTTCTTAACATGGAGCTTGAGAAGGTTGGCCTGACCTTTCCTCCCAAAACATGGAAGGAAACTGTTTCAGTGATCTTCACACGCTTAGGGAAGCAGAAAAAAATGTCAGGGAAGGAAAGGTCAGTTATCAATAGAAGTAGGAAAAAATTCAAGAGTTCGATGAATTTCAAAAGTCAGGGAGGAAAAAGTATCCAGTCACCTGGTACTTGGCAGCCGAGTTAAGTCTTTCAAGGGTTGATTCTGCATATCTATCAGTAACACATTTTCTAAGACAGCCCAAGCTCAATTTTACCAATTCCAGTGTAAAAAATAACCAGGAGGAAACTAATTCTGTTTTATGCTGAGTATCACTCGTCACCAAATATAATCCTACCTTTGGGTGAAACTGCCATATTATACAGCAAAGCAACAGCAAAGCTCCCAAGTTAATTCCTAATGCCAGTGCATTTCCAACTTAAAAAATTACAAATCCAACACTTTTACATTTTGGTGAATATATGCCATGACAAAGCCATACGGTTCTCCCATGAATCAGTGTTCATACTTGTTGAAATAGACAAAAAATGAGGTTCTATAAACAGCAATGCTATTCTTTGAAAACTGACTTACAAACTTAAAAACAAACTAAGGAAAGGCAAAATAAATTGAAAGCAATGATATCCAACTGATATCCAAATGAAGTAACAAAGATTATCTCAGACCTAGCCTCATGAAAGACAACTTTTCATTTTTTAAAAATCTTTTAATTCATTTAAAACAGTGATAATGAAAATGTAGTTGAGGACTCCTCGGATTACTGCGACTCCTTCAGCTGAAAGGGTGTAGCATAATAGCTACAACTTTATTACAAACCACAAGCCAACATGTAATTCCAACACCACCTGAAAAGAGATATAAAACATGATTTAAGTCACTGCATCAACAACCCTGAAGCACACAAGCTTCTGAAAACTACTTTGGAAGAGTAAAATGTGAAACTCAAGAGTTATGAAGTGAACAGGAACAAAGCATCTTTCTTTTTACATACAAACGTCTCTCTTCAAGGGATGGCAGCTAACTTCATGCTTGGCCCAAGAAAACTTTTCTAAAAACATTTGCTATGTACCTAATAGAAAATGCCCAAGGCATGGCAAGTAACAGGATACTTTTTAGAACCTAAATTCAAGATTGTATATAGGTAAACATTCAATTTCCTCCAAAATTTAAATCCATCTTTTTAACAGTATCAAATCCATACTTCTCTCATTCCCTCTTGCTCCCCATAAGGTCATATAGAAAAATATTACTGAGACCTTCACTGCTGACCCAGATACCTTGCACTGCTGTTATAAAGAGTCCTGTCATTCCAACCAGCAGCACCCAAGTTTGTGTGGGTGTGATGGAACAGAGGGTGTGCCCTGGCTGCACATCCATACTGCAGACAACGTACAATCATGCTACACAGTATCACAGAATATAGAGCTATTCATAGCACACGTGAAGAAATTACCTTTTTGGTGATTTTTTAGACATTTTGTGTGCATCACCTAGAATTCATAAGCAACCTGTTTACTGTCATTATCAGCCAAAACAAAAATGGGGATTTGAAGGCAGATGTGAACCTTTTTAAATCCCTTCAAATGCTTTTTAAATAAATGTCTTCGAAGGACTATTTCCCCACCTTGCACAGGAGCACTCTTCTGTTGTCCACTAAGCTTGCTGGATACAAATCATTCTCTAGACAGCTATTGGAGATACAACAACATAAAATTCCAACAACATATTTTGGAATTCCTTCTAAGGCAGTTGGGAACTTCAAGCCCATGGAGATTCACCAGCAGCATTTCAGCTTGATTGTACATTTCCACACGACACTGCCCTGTCGTTCTGCCTGTGAACCTACCCCATGGGCACAAAGGCAGCCCACTTTTCACTCAGAAACAGGTATCTACAACCTGTGATACCATTCTGATCACTAATTTGTTAAACTGCCCAAAAGTAAAGGATTTAAGTAGGTAAAAATACAACATAAATGTGATGGGGAAAAGGATGGGAATGGACAAGACAAAATGCCAAGAGAGGGCATACCTAGATTGATCTGGAGTTACACTACTAGGAAACCCCAGCAGTTTATAAGAACCACATGTAAGCAATACAAACCTATGAAGTATTCGCCCATTTTTAAACCAAATTCTATTTCAATGGACACCTTAACATAACAATATTTCTGATTTGAAATCTTCTCTGGGGTCTATTTCATATTAAGACAAAGCTGCACTGTTTGAGAAGAAATAAAAATGACAGGCCATTTCACTGAATACACAGCAAACAGCTATCAAATGTTTGAAACTCCTCCCTGTGTTAAGTGAGTTAGAAGAAATGTACAGAAGCAGTGCTTGTAATCTAGGCACGGTCTTTGTCACAGCACTGTTAGCATCTGCATGGGTTTGGGAAATGTACTTTTCTACTGTACAGTCCTTACCTGCCACCCCCGTAGGAAAGGCTACCAAGCGCTCCAGTGGAGCAAGCCATTTGCTTGGAAGCACTGTAACTGGCTCAGAATAGTACTTCCAAATCAGAGATATCATCAAGGCAGCCTAGAATTGAAATTTGTATT